TAATAGATCGAATGAGAAAACTTTTTTGAAGACATCAAAAACTGCTTGTTCCTGTTCAAGAACACTTTCTTACTAATCTTCCTCTTAATGCATGGTCTTCTTCAAGACTCTGAGGTAATAACCGCCCGAATCATTACTCCAAGTACAACAACAAAGGGAGGAAAAAGGTAACCTTTAAGGTTGGGGATTGGGTTTGGTTTCACTTGAGGAATGATAGATTCCCTACTCAAAGGAAGTCCAAACTAAGCCCTAGGGGAGATGGTCCTTTCCAAGTTCTTAAAAGGATTAATGACAATGCTTACATCCTAGACCTTCCCTCCGATTATGGAGTTAGTTCCTCTTTTAATGTTTATGATCTTACACCTTTTGTAGGGACTAATGATATGGATGAAGTTGAAGATTTGAGGTTAAATCCATCTCAAGAAGGAGGGGATGATGGAAGACCATCCTTGAGAAATCATATAGGCCCTATCACAAGGTCCATGGCTAGGAGAGGAGAGGAAGATGAAGAACACACCACACCAAAAGCCATGATCATCATGTGTGTGGATTTTGGGCCCTCTCCTTAGTTTGTTGCTTTCCTTTCCTATTTTGCCCTTATATTAGATATTAGGATTTTATTTTGTATTTTTGTTTAGCCATTGCATTATGGGGCAAAATTAGTCTTAGGATTTATTTTGGGACTTAAACCTTGACTTGTAAGGCCAAAAGTCCATTTCTTTCATTTTCTAGGACTAAGGGTACTTTAGTCTTTTTGGAGGGATGAGAGCCATTTCATTTGAGCTGCATCTAGGGTTCATTTAGGGTGCATTTGGGCTTGAAATTTTTGGCCAAATTCTCCCAAGAAACCCTAGATGCTCTCCTTTCTTTATAAGTACGCTAGTCCCTCCACCTTGTACCCATTTTGGAATATATGCATTTTGAGTGAGCCTTGTTGCCTCAAAAAGCCTTTCTTAATCTCTAAGGTCCTCATGGCCATTCTCCTCTCCTCTCCACCCTAGAGTGAGTTTGAGTTCCCTTGAGTGGCCTCCACCAACCCTTGGTGGAGAGAGCTAACCAAGAGCACCAAAAGCACCATCCACCTCTCCTTCTCCTTTTTTGTCCACCTCCACTCCCCACACTTCCAACTTTGTTTTTCACCACCCTTAAGGAACATCCATCCATCATCCTTCTTCCTAGTTGGTGGAGAAAGAGGGAGCTCCTCCTTGTAAGCCAAAGAACACACCATGGAAGGAAGGAGCCCATCACTCAAGTTCAAAACTTGTGGCAGCAAGTGTCCCTTAACATAGAGGAGGTAAAGAGGTTGTTCAACTAGAAGACATTGTTTTATTGAATGATTTATTGAAAATTGACTTCTAGGAATAACTTTCTTGGAAGGGACACTACCTTACAACTTTATAACCTTCTCTTCCTCCTTTTCAAGACTTAGGAGGTTTCTTTTTCTACCTTCTTCTTTTTTTTTTCTTCCTCGAATTTATTTTTCATAAATATTTGATCCTCCAACACTTATGATGGTGTAAGAGGAGTCAAAGTATGTTTCTTGCCTAGATGGAATAGGAGAATTTTGTTGGTGACACCATCATGAATGGCCTTCCTATCATATTGCCAAGGTTTACCAAGTAAGATGTGGCTTACATCCATTGGAATCGCATCACATAAAATTTCATCTTTATATTTTCTAATGGAGAAAGGAACATTTACTTGGTTTTTAACTTCTATAGGACCATCCTCATTAAGCCATTGAAGTTTATAAGATTTAGGATGAGCTATAGTAGTTGATTTAAGTTTATCAACCAACCTTTGACTTACAAAATTATTGTAAGATCCACTATCAATAATGAGAGAACATGTTTTCTTAAAAAAATTACATCTAGAATGGAAAAGGTTCTCTCTTTGTGATTGATCTTGTTCTTTTGGTTGGTTGGTAAGTAACCTTTGAGAAATCAATAGGTCACATTCACATGGTGATTGCTCATTAGAAATAAGGCTTTAATATTTTTGAATTGAGGAGGATGAAGAAGATGAAGTGTTTTCCTCACTTAGGATTTCATTGCCCCTAATGATCATTGTTTTCTTTGTGGGGCATTGGGAAGCTATATGTCCCCTCCATAGGCATTTAAAGCACTTAATGGAACTAGTTATAGTTTCATACAAAGGTTTTTCTTTTTCTTTTTCTAGTGGTCTATCTTTTGAATAGAAGGAATGACCCTCCTTCTTTAAGTCTTTTCTAGGGCACGAGGTAGATTCCTTCCTAAAGTTAGGCTTTCTCCTAATTTGTTGTTCTACCCTCACACAAAGTTAAACTAGTTCATTAAGGTCTCCATAGGGTAGTAGTTCAACCTTGTCCCTAATACCAGCCCTCATCATAAGAAACTCCATTTGTTGCCTATATTCCTCCACACTATGGTTTCTTTGTAGGGGTCTTTGGAGCTTGTCCATTAACTCCCTCTCAAAATAAGAAGGATTGTGCCTTCTCCTTAAGGCACTTCTATGTTCATTCCAATATTGAATTGAAGGCTCATGATGAGTTCTTCTTTCCTTTCAAGGGAAGTCCACCAATACATGGCATACCCTTGAAAGCTTAGGGTATCCATGGGAACTCTTCTATCTTCACTCACATTGTGGCAAGTAAAGAGTTGTTCAACCTTCATCTCCCAATCTAAGTAATCATCAACATTATCCTTTCCATGAAAGGGAGGAAGGTCAAACCTAGGTTTCTTGAGAGAGTGTGATTTATGCCTAGGCCTATGTTTCCTAGGGGGTCTTTGATAGTTTCCATCATCATAGTGACTACTATAAAACCCTTCACTTGAAGATGAGTGAGTGTGTGAGTGATGGTTTTTGGGCTGTGAAACTACCTCCACATGCTTGCCTCTAGGAGGCTTGGAAGGTCCTTCACCATCATGTCTTTTGGGCCTAGAAGGCCCATTGTCCTCATGGACCTTGGGTTTGCTAGTCTCACCACCCATTACTAGCTTGTTTAACAACTCTCTTATAGTTTCATTGTTTATTTCATTTTCTATTTATTTTTTCCTAATATAGTCCCTAAGTTCCCTAAGTTCATCTTTAGTACTCTTATGACTTCTAGGAGTGTGATGACCATGCACACTACTATCATGAAAATGATCACTCATTTTTATGAAGGAAAAGTTTTCACAAATTTTCTAAAGAATTGCAAAAGTGAGTGATAAAAATTTCACAAAAAAAGGTTTTCTCTTTTTGGTGCAAGACTAAGTACTTGGAGGACTAAGTATACAAGTTGCACTATCAAGGGAGGTGAGCTACAAGGATCCACTTAACAACCAAGCCTTTTCAAGTGAAAATTACTAAATCCCCTTATACTTGTCTAACAAATCAATTTTTCACACAAGCAAGTCAAGTAATAGGGTATGTGTGCACGAAACCCCTAGTAGGCAAGGAAGTCTTCTAAACGAACTTTGGAATATTCCTAATCACAATTAGAAAGTAAACTAATGAATTAAACAAGTAAAGAAAGCAAGTAAAGCATATACTAGTCGAATTTCATAGGGTGGAAGTCTAAGTGACACTTAGAGTCTTTTGGACCACTTCCACAAGTACTAAATGTTCTATGAAAGCAATAAAACTAGTCGAATCCTAGTGGAAGCCCAAATTACACTTAAAGCCTTTTGGGGACACCTCCACAAGTGTTAACCGGTTTAGGAATCTTTATTTAGAACTATTTAGGAAGTGATGGGATTTAAGCAAAAGAATTTCCCAAACAACCACTCCTAAATGTGAGTTTGATTAAACAAAGAAAAACTAAAAATTAACCCAAGGGTAGGGTTAAAAATTTACAAGAAAAAGAATGGAATACAATTCAAGAAATTGAAAACTTTCACCAAAAATTGGTGACCAAATTTGGAGACAGCGTTGTGACTGATTTGGAGTCCCTAGTACCGTTCACGCAAATCTGTCTCTAAAATTCGTCTCTAAGGTGCAGTTTTTCCTTGTCGGAACAATTTTCTCAGAAATCCCTCTCTAATCGGGTCACTAAATCTGTCTCAACTAGTACCAGATTAGTGTTACTAGAATCTGTCTCTAATTCCATCTCTCAATCTGTCTCAAAATCTGCCACCTAAAACAAAAATTTTCTTAGCTGTAAAATGAGCAAACAAGTGAGCCTTTCCAATGTGTTTCACTCAAGGATTTTATTACCTCAATCTTCCTCAAGTTGTGGCCTCTTTGAGATGAATCCAATATGTCTCAATTATCCCTCTTTTCCAAGTGTAATGGCTTGAAAATGGATTAACTTCACCAAGGCTTAACAACCATCAAGAGAATATGGAGTCCAATAAAATCAAAACTAAAAATGCACAATTAGAAGAGACTAAACTCAAGTGGGAATTATTGTGACAAACTCAAAGAAAGCCAAGAAAGACACAAAGCAACAATTAAAGGCCAATTTCAACACTAGCACTCAAAGGAATAATCGTAGGAATAGCTCTAGAGTTGATTATAAAATTGTACCATCTAGGTAAAAATCCGACTAAGTGTACCGTCTAGGTAAAAACCCGACTAGGGGACCGTCTAGGTAAAAATCCGACTAAGTGTACCGTCTAGGTAAAAATCCGACTAGTGTACCGTCTAGGTAAAAATCCGACTGATCTCTACTCGGTCATAATCCGACCTGTCTGCTCTGCAGGGGTAACTCGGCCAAAATCCGGTCTAACTCTCCCACATAGATACTGTTCCGATATCAGGGATAAGATCCCATCTTTAATGACAAGATATTCTCCAAATATTAACGGTTAAGGAAATCTCTTGATCCTCGGGGCCCAAGTGGCCCATGAACGACATACCATAAAACCCAAAACCCTAGAGTTGAGAAGGCAGATTACACTTTTGAATGCTCTGGCTTCGCGGCTTGACCTAGAGGAAACCCTAGTTCGTCCCGTGGCCGGAACATTTTGGCGCCCACCGTGGGGCTACGGTGAAACTTTTCCTTACGCCCCAAGAAACACAAAAACCTACGCCCTATCATGGCGAGAGGCGGCAACAACAACAATTCACAACCCCCTACCATGGAAGAGATGATGGCCATGATCAATGGCCTACGAGAGGAGAATGCGCGTTCCAGGGAGAGAGAAGAAGCTATTCAACGCGAGAATGAGGAGATTAGGAGGAGGGCGGATGAGATGCAGGCCAGAATAGCGGCTAGTACCAAGACTGTGGAGGAGGATGTTATGCTGGAGGTCCCTAGAGACTTTCGACCATTTTCGGAAGCCATAGAGGCTGAGATCATCCCCAGGGATCATCGGATTCCTCAGGTCGAAGCTTTTGATGGAACGCAGGATCCCAACCAGCACTTGACAGATTTCCGGGCTCAAATGCTGATATGTGGTGGAGGCATGGAGGTCCGCTGTAAGCTATTCATGGGCACCCTCAAAAAGGCTGCACTTGATTGGTTTAGCGGCTTACCTGATCGGTCAATCACTGATTTCGACGTGTTCAGCAGGCTGTTCATGGCACAGTTCGCCGCCAATAAAAAGAAGCCGCCGATCACGTCGGACCTGTTTGATCTCAAGCAGCAGCAGGAAGAGTCGTTGAAGGACTTCCTGCAAAGATTCAACGAGGTTGCTTTGAGGATAGCGTCTCTAGATGAGAAGATGGCTGTTATCGCGTTCCAAAAGGGATTGAGGTCGGGAGCCTTCGACATTGCGCTGGAAAGAGCAAGTTGTCAGACAATGTCGGAAGTGCGAGCCTTTGCGCTGAGTCACATTAAGACGGAGGAGGGGCAGATCAGCAAGAGAGCAGCAGAAAACCGAGAGGGCGGAAATAACAACAAGGAAGGTAACAAGCATCTCCGGCCACGGTCGGATTGGAATAAGCGACATGATCGTTACAATACTAAAGAGGGTAACTACAGGAAGGCTGATTATGTCTCCAGGTCAGGGGCCGAATTGACACGTAATAGTGAGGAAGAAAAATTTACTGCACTTAATGTCCCCAGATGTCACGTATTGCATGATGTGAGCAGCGCATCACTTTTCGAGTTTCCCGCGCCGACTGACAGACAGCTGGGACCTCTCAAATCCGAGTGGTGCGAGTTTCATCGAACCCACGGACACGCGACCGAGAGTTGTTTTGTTTTGGGTAGGCAGATTGAACGCCTTATCAAGGAGGGCCGTTTGAAGAAGTTTATTGCCGGAAAGCAGGATGAGGGCTCGTCCGACAGACGACGCAGGCCGGGAGGAGAAGACACCGGGAGAGGAAGGCGTGAAGGGAGATCTCCACCGAGAGATTCCCCGCAAAAAACTACGGAAGCTCACCAGCGGGCTGTCCATGGAGACTTCAACACCATTGCAGGGGGATTTGCGGGAGGAGGACCGACTTCAGCAGCTCGGAAGAGATACTCTCGGTCAGTTTTATCGGTCTCGGATTGGGTGAAGCCCTCTCGGCCACCCATCACGTTCTCAGACGCCGACTTCGATGGGGTATCTCCCCACGAGGACGACCCCATAGTCGTCTCAGTAATCGTCATTGGGTATAATGTAAAACGAGTATTAGTGGACCAAGGCAGTTCGGCGGATATAATGTTTTGGGAAGCTTTCGTCGGCATGAAGATTCCAACTGATCGCCTCATGCCGTATGCAGGTACGTTGGTCGGTTTTGCAGGTGATCAGGTAATAGCCAGGGGATACGCCGACTTGGAGACAACGTTCGGCCAGGGGGACAACATGAAGACTGTCACTATCCGATACCTGGTAGTGAACGCTCAATCATCCTACAGCATACTAGTCGGTCGGCCGACACTAAACAAGTTGGGAGCGGTCGTCTCCACGCCCCATTTAAAGCTGAAATATCCTTTGCCCAACGGAAAGGTGGGCGTCGTCTGTGTCGATCAAGAGGTGGCGAGAAAATGTTACGAAGACAGTTTGAGGGCGAGGCGACACCTATATGTGACGCAGGTTGATCAGGGTGTTCAGTCAATTGAGTTGGATCCGAGAGTGAGTCACTTTGATACCCGACCAGCCCCAGCGGAGGACATAAAGGAGGTTACCCTGGCCGAGGGGAAAGCCGTCAAGATTGGTGTATCTCTAAGTAAGGAAGACGAGGAAGGCTTAGTCCCATAAACATTTGTACTAGGTGCACTCTTTTCCTAACTCAGTATTTTGTCCCCGTAAAAATGAGAGGGGTTTTTGCTGAGAAGGTTTTTAATGAGGCACCACCCATTCAATTCCTAATGAATGTCATTTCAATTATTTTGTTTTCACGACTTATAACATGTGTCATTTTTGAGGCATCGAAGAACTCGTGATTGACCGGTTGGATTCCGACTGGGCGAGTATAGAACTCGTGATTGATCGGATGAATTCCGGCGGGGCGAGTATAAGCAACTCGAAGAACTCGTGATTGACCGGTTGGATTCCGACTGGGCGAGTATAGAACTCGTGATTGATCGGATGAATTCCGGCGGGGCGAGTATAAGCAACTCGAAGAACTCGTGATTGACCGGTTGGATTCCGACTGGGCGAGTATAGAACTCGTGATTGATCGGATGAAATCCGGCGGGGCGAGTATAAGCAACTCGAAGAACTCGTGATTGACCGGTTGGATTCCGACTGGGCGAGTATAGAACTCGTGATTGATCGGATGAATTCCGGCGGCGCGAGTATAAAAAATCGAAAGACTCGTCACTGATCGGTAAAAATCTGACGGTGTGAACAAAATCCAACCGTTTCAATTATATGATCGGATTTTGGATGACAATGTTGCTAAACATCCTTGAGGACTCGGCAACCAGCCGATTACTTTCGATTGTGCAACTCGGCACTGAGCCGATTACTTTTAATTAGGCGAATCGGCATTTAGCCGATTGCTTACACTCCCACCTTTACGTCTTTGGACAGAAAACGGAATTTGGGCGACTAGCTTCGATTTGACAACTCCATCTTTAACTTAAAAAAGTTTATTTTTTTCACTCATCGTATTCAGTTGGCGTATGACCGATCACTTGGTCAATTTCCTTTGTGAAGAAAGTTTTAAGCACGAAGTTTTGAATCGCCAAGTAGCCGATCACTTGATTCAAACATGACTTTTAACTTAGAAAGTTTTACACATATTCTTTCTTACTCGGCATTAGGACGAGACCTTGTTCAAAACCTTCAAATTTTAACTTAGAACCTTGTTGGGTCTCTCAGAAATTATAATCGGAATTTGCCCGATTGCGTACGGTTCAAAACCTCTTAATTTTAACTTGGAATCTTTTTGTTTCTTGGAGATGGTAATCGGAAATGGAGGTGGTATTTGGAATTTAGCCGATTCGTCATGGTTCAAAACCTTCAAATCTGAACTTAGAATAATATATATTTTTTTTCTTACTCGAAATTTGGGCGAGACATGATCCAAATGTCACTTTGAACTTAGAATAATCATATTCTTTTTTCTTGATCGGATTCTAGGCGAGACCTCTTCAAACGTCACGTTCAAATTAAAATAATCATATTTCTTTTTTCTTTAGTCGGAATATTGCCGATTACACTTTCAGTTAGAAAAAGTTTCACATCTTTAGTCGGAATTCGGCCGATTATACCCTTCAGTCTCATTTTATGTTGACTTTTTCATGATTACTTAGAAAACCTTCCACGCACATTTTGACTAAAAGTCAAAATCACCAATTACATGATCAAGCTCGCTTCTTGAAAAAAGTTTCGCATGAATGTTTCAATCGACATGTAGGCGATTATTTTTCACGTGTTTATCTCATTTTAACTTTAGAAAAATTGTCCTCCTTTTAGTGCAGTCGGAATTTTGCCGATCATGTCATTAAATCTCATGATAAACTAGTCAAAAAACTTCCAAGTTTAATCGGAATTTCGGCAATCGGATTGTCAAATTTCATTGTAACAAACAAATTTTCTCATCATTTATAGTCGGAAATTAGTCGACTGGATTTTGGTGAATTTCAACTCGGTATTTCAGTGACCCAAGTGACTGAGTCGGATAGTTAACCAACTACTCTATTTGAAGCTTTTTAACTGGGTGAATTTTCTCACATCCCTTACCAGAGCCCGAGGAGCCACGAATTGAGATAACGAGTCTGTGAAGCTTCTTGGTCCGTCCCTTGCCTTAGCCATAAAAGAGTGCTCAACAAAAAGCTGAATGTATCGGCTGAGGATAAGCCTTCTCGCCATACACGCTCAAGGCTGGGGGGCTAGTGTATGGTCCAGGACGAAATCCGACTAGGGGCCTCCACGAGGGGCATGTCGACCATGGCTAAGCCGTCTCCTTGTCTAGCAAAGCCCTTTCGCCTTTCAGGCTCAGGACTGGAAGGCAAGTGTACCGTCTCGCCTATTTCCGATACGATTCGTAGGAGTGGTTGCCTAAGCCCTTTCGCCTTTCAGGCTCAGGGCTGGAAGGCTAGTGTACCATCTAGGTAAAAATCCGACTAAGTGTACCGTCTAGGTAAAAACCCGACTAGGGGACCGTCTAGGTAAAAATCCGACTAAGTGTACCGTCTAGGTAAAAATCCGACTAGTGTACCGTCTAGGTAAAAATCCGACTGATCTCTACTCGGTCATAATCCGACCTGTCTGCTCTGCAGGGGTAACTCGGCCAAAATCCGGTCTAACTCTCCCACATAGATACTGTTCCGATATCAGGGATAAGATCCCATCTTTAATGACAAGATATTCTCCAAATATTAACGGTTAAGGAAATCTCTTGATCCTCGGGGCCCAAGTGGCCCATGAACGACATACCATAAAACCCAAAACCCTAGAGTTGAGAAGGCAGATTACACTTTTGAATGCTCTGGCTTCGCGGCTTGACCTAGAGGAAACCCTAGTTCGTCCCGTGGCCGGAACAAAAATCAAAACAAAAATTGTGCTATTATTTTGAGTAATTAAAAATGTTTTTGCAACCACTGGACAACATGTAAACCTCAAGAAAAATCACACAAAAACTTCAAGGCCAAGTGCTCCTAGTACTTCTTTGTTTTTCACTTTTCTTTTTGTAGCTTTTGATTTTTTTTTCTTTTTCTTTTGTTGCCTTCTTGGCTCTTTCTTCTCTTTTTTTTATACTGAATATGAACACTTCAAAACAAAGGCCAAAAAATTTTAAAAGAGATTTCCAAGTGGTGGAGAAAAAGCAGTAAGAAGTGTAAGTGTACAAGTCAAAAATTCAATCACAATAGTTACTAGTTTTGGTACTAGTTTGTTCTTCTTTTTGTACACCTTTAATTTTAGTTTTTAATACACTTCTTACTCTGTTTTGTTTTTCAAAATAAGCACAAAAATACACAAGGAATTTCTGGCCTAAGATTGCTAAGAATCAATTAGCAATTGAAGTTCACAAAAATTGACTCTAGGACATGTTAGGTCTAATAACATACATAGTAATCATTCAATGAGCACTTCTAAGATTTAATACATGTCCAACCAGAAATAAAACCACACAAAATAGAGGTTAATGTATTTAGATTCAAAAATAAAAAGGTACACAAGAGATGTAATGACAAGAAAAGCAACTACACATGACTCTAAGACAAAACTAGGAGATTAAGAAATGAAAAATGTTTGTTTCTTGTTTCTTTTTTAGGAATTTCTTTTTACCAAATTATTAGGAGTCCAATGAAAGATAAAAGCAATCCTAAAACATTAAAAAAGCCCATACAAGGAATACCTAAAGGCACACACAAAGATTGATTCACAAGAAGTAGTGTATGAATCAAAATAACCAAGACAAGGTGAATTCTTCTATAGATTTATTAATGTGACACAAGAACAATTCAAGGCACACAAACACAAGACAATAAAGGAACACACATATAGGAACAGTTTTAGACATAATATTACATAATGTGACCAAACCAAAACAAGACAAGAAGCTTAAGAACGAATTTACAAAGAAGACTTAGCTCTTGATACCAAATGATGGAAACTTGCTTTGGAACCGGATTGATGTTTGATTCCTCTTCAACTTTCTCCCTAGACCTTTTCCTCTTTGATTCTCCTTAAGCTTCTCCAAAGCCTCCAATGGTGGAGTAGCTCCAAATTTCACCAAGGATTGGTGAAGAAACACTCTTCAAGAGGCACCACTCCTTGGAATAGACAAGCCACTTCTATCCTCACCACACTCTTACTTGAAGAGGATAAGAGAATTGGATGAATATCAAAGAGGTTAGAGACTTTTGGAAGAGATAATTTCTGAACAAATTTCATAATTCACTCAAATATATGACCAAAAGTGTTTACAAAGTGAAGGAAAAGACTTATATAGTGAGGGAGAAGCTTGTGGTGCAAGCTAGACTAACTATGGTTCAAGGAATTTAGGATTTAGGGTTTATGGTTTAGAACCATGGTTAGCCTTCTTACACTTAAGCTAATCGGTCTAGTTACTTGGAATCTTGTGGAACAAGCTTCTAACTTAGAAGCTTGGAGAGCAAGCTAAGTTATAAGCTTGTAGCATAAGCTATCCAAGTGTGTAAAGGAAGCTAAGTAATTTTTGGCCAAGGGAGAGGGCTAGGCGGCCAAGGGTGCTTTCCTTCACTTAGTCCAATCCAAAAATCTTGGAATTGGTTTAGTTAGGTTCACCATATGATGGTGATACCTAGCTAAATCAATTCCTTGGAAAAAAAAATGGAGGAAAACAAGCCCAATATGTAAAATTTAGCCTAGGCCTACTTCTGGCCCAATTACTAATTACACCTACACATATTACTATTTGTCACCCCACTTCTACTACTAAAAATATATAAATCAATGACCCTCAATACAAGGTCAAATAGAGCAAAAGTCTCCAAGTAACATATCCTAAAATCCAAAAGGATAACCTATAAGAAAAGAAAGAAAGTGTCTCACAAATACAAAGGCAAAAAACACCTATACAAGTAACTACTATGTAAAAGTATCATACAATGTATATACAATGGAGACTAAGAGACTAATAAGAGGAATCATACTCAATGCTCAGGAAGAGAAAAGGTCTATGAAGCACCCCCTCGGTAGAAGCCTCCTCTAGCCTCCTAACCATAGACCTAGTTAAAGGCCCAATGGTCTTCAAGTATGTAGCCTCCTTGGATGGTCCTCCATCACACTTCCTCTCTAGAAGCCTCCTCTAGCCTCCTAATCAT